ATTTAGGAAGAAGCAAGGCCTTAAGAGAAACAACTTGTAAAAAATACTTCCGTTACGATTTCAGTTACATTTTTCCCCTTCGAATTTTGAATTTTGAAATTCCAATTTGTTGAATTCAATTTGCAGAAACTACTTTCAAGAAAAGTAAACAAGCCGCTTGTTGCAGCGTTAAAAGATGTTTCTTGAGAACCCTTATCCCTTCCATATTACGCATGAGTGATTTGCACACTTCTGCCGACCAAATGAGAGACCAGAGAATTTAGAATTTTAATTTCAGGTGAGAATGAATAAAGGTTCCATTTTAGTGGTTTTCGAATGAAAAGGAGAATTTCCGTCTTGTTTGGGTTCTCCTGGTTAACAACCCATCGAAAGGTCTAGCGAACAGATCACCAGTGATTGGCTGTTCGTGCCAGTGTATTAGGCTCTAGTGTAGCGACTCAGCAGAGCAAAGAGATTGTTCCTTGTTTGAGCAGGGTGGGCGTGATGATTTTGTATTTCGTTCCTTGATGATGTAGGGGGTTCGTCCTCGCAGTGAAGGTGCGGGATTGTTATCCCTTCCCTGATGGCAGTCTCCAGCTCCGCCCTTTCCATTAGACTGATGAATGACAGTTACACCTCCTGCAAGGAACCCGCAATGTGAATCGCTTCCCGGTGGTAGGTTTCAGCCGCATTTTCCCCCAATCGTCATTGTGAAGCCTGTTCATGGTTGCTTATAAACTTTTTTAGGACTTTTCCGTGCCTATTAAGAATAAACCTCTGTCTATGAACATCTTCGTCGGCTTCCTACCTCTTTGGATTTTTCAGAATTTCTGGTGGATTGACAGTGGGCGAATACAACCAGAAAAGAGCGGACGCAGGGGACATTTGGAGTACCAGCCCTCGTCGGAAGGAACCGACGCTATCCAAGAACTCAGTGTGCTCGGACGTGGAGCCATACCCTGAACAGGATGATAAACAGAACAAACGCAAAACCAGCCAAAAAAGTCAGGTTAGTGGGCACATCCATCTGCGAAAACGGAGGTCAGGACACGGAGTCACCCCAGAAGCAGTAGCTCGTCTAAAGTTCTGAGAACCTGTATGGTACTCCCATCGTGTATGGTCAATCCATGAATCTGAAAGTCTGTCTGATTGAGAAATTAACAGTACTGAAAAGGACGAGGTAGACAATAATGGCCATTTCGGGCACATTAGTCGTTATCAGACAGTCATACCCAACCCTAGGTGTTGCAACATCCGAGGCGCGAACCCATGACCTGTTGGTTAGAATTCCGGTGCTCTAACAGCTACCCCACGGGCTCATTACCATGCCGGGTTCAGTCGGGAATATTAATAACGGGAGATGGCGGCTCACCAATCGCTTACGGAACTCACTCGTCCGTTTTTGGTTTGCGGTTCACTCTTGAGAACCGCTAGTAGTCGATGAAAGTGACACAGCCTGCAGCGACCCTGTAGCGCTTTCCGCCGTCGGTACCACGCCACACATGAGGTCACGTGATTGCAGACCTTGGTCCGCCTCTGGGAGAGCCAATGGAAGATGCCACAAACTGCGCAAACGCTCAACATCTTGCGGCTGCTAGCAAATGCGTATATACCGGTACCTGTCTATCCCAATCCGGTCTGGCCAATCATCTTCCTGTGGCTGAATCATTCAAAATCTAACTGCGACAACTGCTAGACTCACATAATTCGGACGCCGGCTTCCTCACGGGTGCTTGCGCAATCATACCACTGTAAACATCCTCTAACCTATTCTTCACTACCTCTGTAAAGAATATACTATTCCTTCCAATTGGAGTCTCACTTCTTCACTTCTCGCACGAAAACGAGCCCGAAGTCTTTA